CTATAAAATCGTTTGGAAAACCGTTATTAAGGTATATACTACAACATGCTTAACAAGAAGACTCATGTTATGCCGCTCTGACCATAGTTCAATTAGGTCTCATTTAAATACATGCAGAGACCTACAAACTCTATTCGTAACATCCTCGTTAATAATATACATATAATAACTTCCACATGTAAAAAAAAGGTTAAAAATAATGGAAGCATTATTAATAAAAGAAAAAGTAGAAAAAGACAACATTCAATAATTGTAACCTAGAGATTATTACTGAATAGAATAATCACACGAAGGTTGGTAACAGACGATAATACTTAGAACAAGAACAACATATGGAAGTAGTAGCCAACTGCTAGAAGTTTCACATAAATATCTTTCCCGAATATATCAATGTTGCTGAGCATTTCCATCAGATCCTTATGGTGGACTTTACCGAAGTCCTTTGCGTAGTCTATAAAATATAGGTACATATCCTTTTGCATTTGCATCACTCTTTCTGATAACATTCTGAGTATGAATATCGCTTTCCTTATTCCGGTGTCTTTAGCTAAAACCGCACTGTTCTTGTCCTATTTCTTGGGTGATTTTGCTGCGTGCTCTTATTCATTAGAATACAGTTGATGAGTTTTGTCACCTGGCTCATTAGACTTATTTTCGGTGGAGTTTGCACCTGTTTTCTTAGGTATCTAATATATTTATTTCTATTTTCTTAAAAAACATAGACATTTCAATGACTTAGTTATCTCCCTTGAGTTTACTAATTTCTTTCCGGGTCCCAAATATAGTCACAAATAACATCATGATATTTTCCACTGAGCATTTTTAGGAGAAAAAAAAACAAACAAAAAATAAAATCACCTAAGATTACACATAGATAAAGGCCTTCGTAATGTGTGAGCTGTAGTTGTGAATACAATTTTTTTGTATTTCTTTAATACATGGTATACTAGGAATCCTTTCAAAGTGTCTACTGAAATCTTTCCCAATCAATTAATCAGAGGGATCCAACTGCAACTCTCGATTTGAGTTCCTCATATGCCACATTTTTGAGGTCTCGATTTCAATGTTCTTGTATTTTGATATTTTTTTTTTTAAGATCTTCAAAGATTCATTATAGCCTGCAGGGACTGCCATGTCAGTAAGAACGCAAATTTTGTTTTTGCAGTCTCTGATCCCGATGTTTGATTGTTCTGTCTGTTTGTATTGTAAAGTCCCATAAAATTGTTACAGGTCCTATCCGCCTAACCGGGTTCAGGTGTGTTACCAATTTCTTGCAGTTTTCTTTCCATAAAGCTTGCAGATTTTCCAGTGCAGATATTGACCCACTCTGTCTATGCGGGTTGTATATTCAGTGGGTGACAAAACCGTGCAGGATGGTCAATTGTTTCTGGATATTTATCACAGAATTTGCATTTTGGGCTGACACAATTTTTCAGTATGTATGTTTGGTAATTTCTAGTTAGAAAGCATTGATCCTATGTAACGAGAATAAAACATTCGGTTTCAGCTTTTAACCCTGCACTACGTAACCACTGATGGGTACGGTGTTTGTCTATATCACCTTATTTGGTACGAGCCTAATATTCGAACGTGAAGATGTTTATCCTGCCATCGTTTCTGTATCTGGTCGATTGCTTTCTTTTTTGAAAGGTTTTTGCAGCTTCAATCGGTGTATTATGTTTTACTTGCATTTTTTCCATTTACTTGAAACTCCATTTGGAATCTGTTGACTTCCTTTATTACTAAATAAAGTTTCTTACTTCTTTCATGGCCTTTGACACTGATCATTATCCAGTCTTCCGTAGTTTCCAGTTATTTTTGAAGGCCGATAGTTGTAGTTTTGTAAGACTATTCTTGTTGAACTAATCCTCTCCCTCCTCCGGATCTGGCCCTAAACAAACATACAATATCAACCTTGGGATAATGCATGCGGTGTCAAGTGAGAAGCTTTCCCGTTTTGGCGTCCGTTTGCTTAATGTCAGCTTTGGTCCTGTTACGGATGGTGCACTACGGTACAGCCAATTATTATTATTATTATTATTATTATTATTATTATTATTATTTCCTTTGATTTCTTTTGTATACACATTTTCTTCCGGGTCCCAACCAGAAACCTAAGGTCAGAATTGGCTTCAGGACATTTTTCCAATGGTCATTTTGGCAAAAAATTCAAACTTAAGATCACACACATTTTACATAGAAAAAGCTCTTCGTAACATATGAGCACAGTTTGTTTTGTGGCCTTTATTACTATGTTTGAGTGATAAACTTTTATTGTTCTCTCTGTGTGTATTGTAAAGTCCCATAAAATGGTTAGAGGTCCTGTAACCGGGTCTGGGTGATGTTCATACCAGTTTCTTGCAGTTTCCGTAAAATTGTTATTATTATTATTAAGAATAATAATTTGACCGCATAATGAATATGTTATACCACATAATGAATATGCTTTAGCTAATGTCCATACATTTGCACCATACATTAAAACCACCTCTACAGTGGCTCGAAACAATCTCTGTTTGAGATTGGTAAATTAAATTTCCAAACTATATCCATTTTATTCAAGGTGGCCCGAGGTTTATCTATGCGAATTTTAACATCCTTTTCAGTAGATTTTATTTCGCTTCCTAGTTATGTAAGAGTGTATTTCGCTTCTCAGGTATGCAAAAGATTCGACAGATTTCATTTATTCACCTGAGACAGTTTATACAGTTTAGGTATTTAGTTACTATCCAAGCGGTTTCATCTACCGTGTCTCGAAAGATTCTCCGCTTGAGATTGTCTGCTAGATCAGATTCCCAGATTACATCCATTTTATTCAAGGTTGCATTGACAATGTGAATTTTCACATCCTTTTCAATAGAATTTATTTCGCTTCTCAGGTATGTAAAAGTTTAGACAGATTTTATTGATTCACCTGAGACAGTTTGTTTAGAGCCTTGCTGGATTTAGTTTATGTATTCAGTTTTAGTTCGCGTTAGATTGTAGAAATGTCAGTGATGGGTCCATAGAACTGTGATTTATTTAAGAGAAATGTTAAATATATTTCTCAGTATTCGAGTGTAGGTTCCATCAAGCTTAGACTCTCGAGTTTTAGCTAATGTCCAAGCAGTTGCACCATAGATTAAAACCACATCTACAGTGGTTCGAAACAATCTCCGTTTGAGATTGGTAAATCAAATTTCCAAACTATATCCATTTTATTCAAGGCGGCCCGGGGTTTAGCTATGCGAATTTTCACATCCTTTTCAGTAGAATTTATTTCGCTTCTCCGGTATGTAAAAGTTTAGACAGATTTTATTGATTCATCTGAGATAGTTTGTTTTGGGCCTTGCTGGTTATAAAATATGATTTCAGTTTTAGTAGCATTGAAGCTGGTTATTTTTATTATTCAGTCGACCTAGTTAAGACATTGATGAGTGTATCAGTCCAACCACGGCCCTGCAACACGGGCGGAAGGACATTAGGGAGGCATTCTGTGTCATAACATCGCTGGCCAATGTATGTTTCATTCTCTGTCTTTTATTTTTAATGGAAACAAGAAGAACACTTATATATAGAATAAAAAAAATTAAAAAAAACAGCTGAAATTCAAGAGAAACATAAGGAGTTAGGAAGGCTTGGAAAATTTAACACTCACAAAGCATATTAGAATCAAAAGCTGTGTGAATGTATAGTAAGATGGCAAAAAGACAAGCGTTACAAAAAGATCTATAAGAGATAGGAAGTTGTGGAGAGGCCTGACCGTTCTTCTCCTGAAGGAAAATGGTATATAGAAAATGAAGTGTATGCATAAAGAATAGCCAGTTTATTTTCCCCTTGTTTTCTTTAGTTTCATTTCCGCCTCACCTCGCTTTTTGGTGACTGCAAAGAACAGGTTGAAGCTTATTATTGTATTTTATTCGATCGACATTAAAGAGTCTATCAGTCCAAGCATCATGGTCCTACATCAAGGGTGAGAGGTCATTATGAGGGCATATTGTCTCATAACATAGCTGGTCAATGTAGGTCTCATTTTCCGTTTTTCTTCTTCTTCGATGAAGAATAAGTCACCTTTTCCCAAGAACTGCTATTCCGTTCCACAGACTTCCTCATTGTTACTAAACCTGAACACTACAATATTAACCAATTCAATATCTGTCTATATTTCTGAGATGAGGTATTATGTACACTATTTACATTATTCAGACTATTTTCCTCATCTTTGTTGCCATATTTATCACAACGTTTCGGCCGTTGTACGCTTCGGCCTTTCTCAGTATCTGTCTATATTTCTGAGATGAGGTATTATATACATTATTTACATTATTCGGACTATTGTCCTCATCTTTGTCGCCATATTTATTACAACGTTTCCGCCGATGTACACTCCAGCCTTCTTCAGGTGGTTGGAATGTCGAACTGAACCTTTTATTTCGCTCACTGGGGTAGAATGTTCTAGTTCCAGTGCCACGTGAGTTCAATGCCCGGTTAAGGCAGTGGAGAACTTGGAGAGAGGAATTAACAGGAGATAACATCCATTAAACATGGAGTGACATCCATTAAACATGGCACGTGGAACTAGAACAGTCTACCCAAGTGAGAATAATAAAGAGTTCAGTTCGACATTCCAACCATCTGAAGAAGGCAGGAGCGTACAAGGGCCGAAACGTTGTAATAAATATGGCGACAAAGATGAGGACAATAGTCCGAATAATGTAAATAGTGTAACCACTTCAAATCAAGGGTCAATCGTTATCCATCCTCCTTATCCTTATAATCTTCATTTTTTATTCATAACAAACAGCTCATTCGTCATAAACATTTTAATAGTAAACCTCTACTTTGAGTGGCTCTCAAGATTTGAATAGAGTGAATCATGTTTTAGCTCGTTTTACTCTTCTTTCCTTTTCCTCTTGCCATTTTCTTCGGTCATTTCATTTTGAAATTTTTGTATCCAGTGGAAGTAAAAGACGACAAAATGTCCGACACTCTTCTGCTTAGAATTTAATAGGTCAAGGTTCATGGAGAAATCCTTTCTCCGCAAACGGAAAGAGGAAATAGTTTTGAAGAAAACGCGAAAAAGCGTTCACTTCCCTCATCACCACTTCACTCACCCGGCGACATTTCCTTTCGACGGTTATATTTCCATTTCTTTCTTTCTTTCTTTCTTTCTTTTTTTTTCTTTCTTTCTTTCTTTCTTTCTTTTTTTTTTTTCTTTCTTTCTTTTTTTTCTGCCTTTTTTTTTTTTTTTTTCTTTTCTTTTTCTTTATCTTTTATTTCAGAGTTCTTTTAATTTTCTTTTTCTATCTTTTCTTTCTTTTTTTAAAATTTCATTTCTTTTTTTATTTTTTTTTTCTTTCTTCTTTCCTTTCTTTCCTTTTTCTTTTCTTTGTCTTCTTTCTTTCTTTTTTTTTATTTCTTTATTTCAGAGTTCTTTAATTTCCGCTCTTTTCTATCTTTCTCATTCTCTAAATTTTTAAAATCTTCATTTTTTTTTTTAATTCCTTTCCTTCTTCATTTCTTTTCCCTTTTTTCTTCTTTTCTTTGTGTCATTTTTTTTATTCCTTTCCTTCTTTTTTTTTTTTTTCTTTCTTTTTTTCTCATTTTTTTTTTCTTATTTCTTTATTTTTCTTTCTTTCTTTCTCGCTTTCTTTCTTTCTTTCTTTCTTTCTTTCTTTGTCTTCTTTCTTTCTTTCTTTTTCCTTCCTGCCTTTTTTCTTTTCTTTTCTTTATTTCTTTATTTCAGAGTTCTTTAATTTCCGCTCTTTTCTATCTTTCTCATTCTCTAAATTTTTTAAAATCTTCATTTCTTTTTCCCTTATCTTCACGTGTCATTATTTTCTATGCTTTTCTTTCTTTCTTTTTTCTTTTATCTTTCTTTCTTTCTTTCTTTCTTTCTTTGTCTTCTTTCTTTCTATCTTTCTTTTTTCTTCAAATAACTGTCTTCTTTTCTTTGAAAGTTCTTGAATTTCTGCTCTTTACTCTCTTTCTTATTCTCTCAAATTATCATTCCTTCACCTTTCATTATTTTTCATGCTTTCTTTTCTTCCTTCTTCCTTCTTTCTTTTTTCTTTCTTTTTTTCAAAGGTAGTTAAGTTTCACTCATTCTCTTTATCTTCATGTTTTTGACAAATCTTCATTTTACTTCCTTTTCTTTTCACGTATCATTCTTTTCTTTTCTTTTTTGAAAGATCTTAATCTTCTATGCTTTCTTTCTTTCTTTCTTTCTTTCTTTCTTTTTTCTTATTTGTTTATTTTTTTTTAATATTTACCAAACTTCGTTTCTGCTAAATACAATACAAACCAATGCATATAATATGTTACGGATATTAAATACTCAAACTATTTTATGAATCGTAGGAAAAAAACCCAAAAAAAACTCGCTTATTATTGACTCCATTATTTACTACTTGGTTAGAACTAAAATATTCTGTAATCAGTTCTTATAAAATATACCCAGGTAGAAATCATCACATCCTTTGGTCAAAAGAGCAAAATTCTTTTAATGTCATGTCGCTAAAGGACATTGGCGATTATGGCGTTCCACAAAATCGTTAGTGATTTCAATAAACACCTGAGATTTATCATTTAATATACAATGTTTAAAAAATCTAACGTAATCATTAGTAATAACTCGAGACCCATCCAAAAAAGTTCTTATGCATTCTTGCCTATTTTGAAAGATTGCAGCTGCAGATATGAATAATTAAAAAAAAAAAGTTAAATTGTCACATTGGACACATACACCACACTGTCTTTTGGATTGATTTGTCACTTGATGAAACTTGAAATATTCAACGTCATATCGAAAACTATCAAAATGAAATAGAAGACAAATATTAATAGATAATGCGAAAATATTACACTAGAAACACTGTAAAACTATTACCATACAAATGAATTAACCCACATTAAATATCTTTCGCTACAGTAGACGGTATTTTAAAATTTGTATAAAATACTTAAGAGTCGTATAAACTAAATAAAGCACGTACGACGTCTCTTATATGATAAACGTATGTTTGAATGTCACATGTCACAAAATATCGGAATGGAGCTAAAAAAAAAATTGTTTCTCTACGAAGTCCTGAATATAACCAATAGGGTTGAGAGGAATGGAAGAAAATAAAAACAAAATCAACGACATAAACTTTGGTGAGTTCATCCGGATGTGCAACGACTTATTTGAAAATTGGAAAAAAAAAAAAAAAAAAACAGAGAGTTGAATTTAATACAACACACTCACATTATAGGTTAAAAGTTTTGGGACCACCCTTTGGATTCAACAATGCTAATTTATGGACACGAGGCCGATTGGATAAAACGTTCGCACTCTGACCATGAGACCATTGTTCGAATCTCACCAATGTCGATTTATCAGGAAGGAGACTGGAGGGGTCGATCCCAGCGTGCGCCACCTTTGGAAATCACCTTTGGTTGACCCAAGCCTTGTGAGCGAAATTGGGTAGACAGAACCGTTAGGGGCCGTCGATGGCCTTGATAGCATGAAGTCGCAAGTCATCGTGGCCGAGGGCTTGAGCGTGCTGGCCTTGTTCAAATTGTCGATCACGCTAGATAACACGCTCGGCACATTTGGAAAGTGCCTGAAAGCAATACCACAGGCCTTGTTAATGAAATTGGGTAGACAGAACTCTTGAGCGCCGTCGATAGATGTGCTAGCACAAAGCAACAAGTCATCATGGCTGAGGGCTTGAGCGTGCTGGCCTTGTTCAAATTGTTGATCACGCTAGATAACACGTTCTCTCCCAGAAACTAAGGTCTGGTCAGCATAGCTGCAGTATAAACCAAAGGGTGTTAAATAAACACTAATGCGCCTGAGTAAGCGTCTGTAATAGGGATTGGCTTGTCGTCCTAGTAGAAGGGTATCCTCGAATACGAGTGGCCAGCTATACCTATTTTGATTTAATTAACTCCTACGAAACTAGAATGTTGAAAGTATTTAACTCATTAGTGTATGGTATCCAATTATTTAGAAAGGGGGTTATATAAAATTTTAAATCCGCCGATGCTAGGATTGCTATTAGCTTGAAAGGTGGATTAGGCAAAAAGAGCTAAGATTTTAAGGAAATTATCTGCAGCAAAAGGTTAACCTCGTTATTATTATTGAGTATATTCATCAGGAAGAAAAAGTCCGTGTGGCTTGAAAAAGACACGCAACCGACAATTTTAAGAAGATTCTTGAAAATTTAAAGGTTGGTTCCAAACGTTTACGTTTATTAGAATTAATATAAATTTCAAAACAAAGGCGAAGCATAATATCGTTAACAGGCAAATATGAAATTGTGGAAATAACAGCTAATGTCCATTAGATGCAGTTTGCAAAACTGAAGCAGGAATTTAAAAAGGAGAAGTTATAGATGCAAATACCCAGAAAAAATATACATAAGGCGTACTGAGGGTAACATTAAAAAGAGGTGGTACAATCATAAGTCATCTTTTAAGCTATAAAGCCTTAGAAATTCTACTCAACTAGCCAAACATGGGTGGAAATTAAGGGAAATAATAAAAAAGATCCGATGGTAATCTGAAAAATATTTTTTAAAAAGCAAAACCTTACAACAATCAAAGTAATATCTGAAACCTTTGTCAACAAGAAAAATTAGCTATAACATTTCCAGATGAAAAAAAACAAACTTTTGAATCCGAGATCGAAAATGATGTCCCGTTGTATACTTACTAAAAAGTTCCTTTTGAGTTCATGCAAAGTGGGATGAAAAGGAAGTATGTATATTTCATTTAATCTCTGATCCATTTCCACTACACTTGATTTTCCCCTCCTCCTCCTACTCCCCCACCTTCTACCACGCAACTCACGTTCTGCGGTTATTCATTTATTTTTTTAAAAATTATAGCGTTCAAATTTTTCTATTAAAAAAAAAAACAAAATAAAGCGTCAGGAAATAATTTGGCCGAAATCACCTGAAGATATCAAAAGGTTGAACCCAATGTAGCGGAATTGGCTGATCTCGTAATTCTTTATACTTATATATATACCTAATATGAACCTAAAGAGCCAGGTAACCCTACCTAGGTTTCACTAATACGGATCGTCAGGGTCAATTGAGTCTGACGATCCGGATAGGTGAAACCTAGGTAGGTTTACCTGATTCTTTAGGTTCATATTTAGGTCTGCTCTACTTAGCGTATTGAGCACTTTACGTAGTTACTTTTGCTTTACTCGTTTTGGAGGTTTTTCTTCTTTGGACTCTGAACTTAAATTCTGGACGATTGTTTTTGCCTCAATTTCATGGTCTTAGTTCTTTCTTTTTTATCCATTATTTTCCCTTGGGCATTGGTTTGTTCAATTACAAGCCAAAATACCTAAAGTTTTTCCAAACGAGTATAACTATATATATATATATATATATATATATATATATATATATATATATATATATATATATAAAAAGGCTTAAACATTAATATTCCATAGTCATAATTTATTCCATTGGAATCGTAAATACGATCCAATTCATCAGACCTACAAATTCAAAAAGAAAACGGAAAAAACAACTCTGGAAATAAAAACAGAATTTAGAGAGAGTGTAAGTATGAGGAGGAGGGAGATTAAACCTTAACAGAGAGAATTTTAGGAGAGGTGGGTGGAAGGGATTTAAGTAAGAGAAAAATGAATGTTGTCGGATGTCTAATGCATAAAGATACATTTTGTGGTGCCATACACACACCATAGACAATCTAATGTTATATAAGAGGGAGGGAAAGACGAGGTGGGGGAGAGAGATGGGGCGAAGGAAAGTAAAATTGCGTTTACTTAAAGGGCCGCTTTGTAATTGAGAAAATTTGACAAATTTAATATCGACTACAGGTTACAAATCAAATATAAACATATAAAAAATAAATATAACGATTATCTAATCCAGCAAGGACCTATATTTCTATGTTCAAAAACACATGGGAATACACACATACACAATAACATATACACGTATATACATACACATAGGCGTGTACCCACATAAACACATACATATACCCATGTGCACACATATAAAAATATAAAAATATATTCACATATCCACACATACACATATTTATCTATATCCATATACACACACTTTTCACATACATATACATACATACGCATGCACACATGCATATATCCATATATACATACATATATACATATATATACACACACACATATGCATGTATATGCGTGTATGCACACATACACATCCATACACACACATACATACATATATATATACATATACATACACATATACACACATATACATATATATATATATACACACCCTTACATATACACACATACACACACATATACACATATACATACACACACACACACACACACACACACACACACACACACACACATATATATATATATATATATATATAAAAACAAAAATACATACATGCATCCCTTTATATATATATATATATATATATATATATATATATATATATATATATATATATATATATATATATATAATATAAAAAAAAGGAATGGATTAAACCCAACAGATTTTTTATTTAAACATTATTTTTTAAATGGATACTTATATTTGAGTAGATACTCTGTTTATTTATTCATTTGTTTATTAAACAGTATATATATATATATATTTATTAACATCTACCGGCCTGAATATTCAAGAAATCTTGTTAGAAAAATATCTGTCTTCTGGCAGGATTCGAACCTGTGTCCCCTAATGAAACCGTCATTAAATCTGTCGTGCCTGAGACCGACTCAGCCACATAGAAACTCCTGACCAGGAATAGCCCGAATAGTGCTTTCGAACATATATGTTCCCGAGTCTCGAATTATACATATCTGCTCTGTTTTGTATCCTAACCTAAACAAAGGAAATGTTTTAGAAAATAGATTAAATCCGACAGATTTTTAATTTATTTTTTAAACGTTATTTTTTTTAAAAAAATGTATACTCATATTTGCTTAGATATTCTGTTTTGTTTTTTATTTATTTATTTATTATACAATATACTTATTTCTTTACATCTACCGGCCTGAATATTCGAGAAATGTTGTTAGAAGGATATGCGCCCTCCGGGAAGAAACAGTACAGAAAATGTAAATATTTATTTCTCTCAGTGTTTTTTAATTAATTTCTATTTATTGTTTTTCCCCGTATTTTAACTTAATTTCTTTTGTTCGCATTTTTGAATTTATTTCTTTGTTCATTTTTCTTTCTTTCTTGCTTTCTTTCTTTTTCAGTCCTTTTTAAAACTTAAGTTTCGTTTTCTTTTTTAACTGAAGTAAGGTTTTATTTTTACTTATTTTCCTCGCCCTTCGTAATTGTTCCGCATTTTAACCGGTTTTTTCTTTCTTTTGTTTCTTTCTTTCTTTACATTATCTCTATCCCTTTCTTTCTTTTGTCTCTTTCTTTCTTTACATTATCTCTATCCCTTTCTTTCTTTTGTTTCTTTCTTTCTTCCTTTCTTTCATTGCATTATCTCTATCTTTTTCTTTCTTTTGATTCTTTCTTTCTTTCTTTGCAATATCTCTATCCTTTTCTTTCTTTCTTTCTTTCTTTCTTTCTTTCTTTCTTTCTTTCTGTACATTATCTCTATCCCTTTCTTTCTTTTGTTTGTTTCTTTCTTTGCATTTTCTCTATCCTTTTCTTTCTTTTGCTTCTTTCTTTCTTTGCATTATCTCCTTTTCTTTCTTTTCTTTCTCTCTTTGAATTATCTCTATTCTTTTCTTTCTTTTCTTTCTTTCTTACTTGCATTGCATTATCTCTATCCTTTTCTTTCTGTGTTTTTACGTTTTTATCTGTACATTTCTTTCCTTCATTTCTAAACTCAACGAACAAGAGATCACTGGCGAAGTGCAGGAAGGTTTCGGGTTTGTACTATAGGCAGTAAGCTTGTAGGTCTCTTCAGAATTGATGATCATCTCAGTATAAATAGAGAGGATTCATATAAGTCCTTGGACGATATATTTTCTTTTTTAGTTCTCCATGTATTAGCCGAGAAGTTTTAAGCTGAATAATATATTAATTCAAAACAACGATCCTACAAATTTGGCAAAGCAGTCTACTACTCACTTAACCCCAACCCCCACAACAAATTTCAAAGTTAACAAATTAATGGAACCTCCAACTGCTCTCCACAGCTATCGTTTGTCGCTTCTATCAGTATTTTTTTTTACTGTCAGTCTCTCATTGTTCTGATATAGGTTACTCTCTGTTTTTACACTGTTCTTTATGTCTTAAATATGTACTGTAAGTGTCTAATTTTCCAAGCATTCTTTCCTCGTTGCGCGCCTCAGAAAGTCCTCTTTATTTTTTTACGTATTTTTATGAATAAGAGTACTTTTTTTTTTAATTTCCTTAAAACTTCCTTTTGCTTACATACTCCGTCGCTGGAATTCTCAGTATCCTTCTGTAGAACCATACCTCTGTTGCTTAAAGTCTTCTTTTCATCTGTGAGAAAATTTTCCAGCATCCATTGAAAAATAGGAGAACTAATATGACAGAGCACTTAAGAACTCTTAGTTTAAAATGAAATTTTCCTGTCTTAATACTTTGTTTAACTTTTGGAAAATATCTTTCTCTGTTTCGATACAGGTTCGAATTTCGGTGTCTCATTTTCCGTCTTCTGTTAAAACATTTCCCAGATGTTCAAACTTTTTTACTTGTTTGAGTTTGGCATGTAAGGGGTACCAAAACTGGAATGGGCAATGCCAATTCTTATCCTGGCTAACACACTCCATGAAACCCACTTATTACATGCTGGCAGTTTAACCCTTAAAAAAATTTCTCACAAACCCGGTATGTTAAGTGAAGACTTATTTGAATGTAACAGGAGAAAATTGGTTTTATTTAAACATACTATTATTTCCAAGCTACAAACAAGGAAAGTTTCCTATACTTAATATAGTTTTAGATTTTGTATGATAAAGTGTTTTCATAGCTCAAAATTCCTTATGTTTCATGGCTGAGATAAAAAAAAAAAAATCACTGATATTTTATGCCAAATCTAAAAGATGTCATGTCCTTTGAGAATTTGAAAATTATTGTTCTCCACAGTTTCCTGATTTTTTTTCACTTAATTGCTCTCTGGTGACTGAAGAACTCCAAGAGTTATGCCTTGATATAAACACCGAAGAGAAATTAAGAACAGAAATCTATTTCGTTACTAGCAACATGGCCCGGCGTTGCCCGTGCTTGATTAAAAATCGTACGACTCATACAGCAATCGCTATCACTTGACTTAAAATATTTTTGCCCTTCCTTGCCTTTAAAGGAGTGCCCTTTTCCGTGCTGATGTTGCTACATACCTTACTTCTTGCCTATCTCACACTGCGAATTTTTTCTAAGCTCTATACTAAACATTAAATCTGTTATGAAAAAAAACAAAAAACAAAATGAACACAAAACGATCAACTTTAAAAAAAGGACTTGTAACTGGAAAAACCGAATGAAAAAAGAATGTTAACAACAAATACTTTTTCACACCCAACCCAGTTCTGAGGAATCAGAATCAACGTTGAGTTTAAGCAAGCGAATGAGCCAATTGGAGTAAAGTGCCAAGCAGATTTAAATTTTTCCCACTTGTGACGAATGAAGTTATCGATTTTTTTTTTTTTGCATGCTAGCATGCTAGTTAACATTCGTGTCAGTCAGCTGTTGGCTCTCACGCAAGCCAGTAGAATCTTCCTGCCTATTCGTGGCAGCCAGCTATAGGCTCTCACTCTGGCCAGTAGAAAATGAACACAAACTACATGAAAACTGCCGTAGAAGCATGAAAAAATCGATTATTTCCACTATCGACGGGAGTTGGGAAATGCAAAGTCGGTCTTGGCCTTCTCGCTAACTTGGAGCATTTTCATGTAAATTTTTGATGCAAATCCGTCGAAAATTGCGACCGTGCATTCGTTACACACACACACACACACACACACACACACACACACACTGCCTTTTATAGATAGAGATTCCATCCAATAATCTTACTAAAGCTTCAATGACTCAACATTTTGTAAGCTAGAGGGCTAAAACATCATTGTCGGCTTCTTTTTTATTGATTTATTGATTGATTCGTTTTCTATGGCTTATCAGCCATTTACAGGTTATTTAAAGCCAGAAAATATTTTTAAATGTATTTTTTGTGTGTGTGGGAGATAATAATGATTTAGTCATACACATCTTACTAATTGACCCATAACTGATGGAGAAGAGGTGGTTTCATACCTTTCCCAAAGGTAGGTGAATATAACGAACCCAAGTGGAATTGGAACACGGCTCTCTGATTAACAATTCAGAGCCATTCTCCAGTACACCACCAACACACTCCAGCTTTACATCACCTGGTATTCCCACGTAGTCACTCATCTAGGTACTGAATAGTATCGACGTTGGTTGATTTCGGTGATCGTACTGGAACCGTTGTTTCAACGTGATATGGCCATAAGCCTGTCGTCGGCTTTACATTTTCTTGTAATTAATTCGCCCCAAGCAAGGCAATAATGCTACTAAGACGCAAGGAGCTACTGAGAATGAAAGAAAATGAGAAGACTTTAATGGAACTGGAAACTTGATCCTAAACAGGAAATGAGGGATAAGCCTATACCCTCGTTCAAAATAGCGAGGAGGAGTGTAAACAGGGCAATAGGCGAACCCATCTACTCCCATCTAAGAATGTAATATCTTCCTTGATGACAGCATCCTTTATAGTGACGACGTTGATGACTAAGTAGACCAATTCTTGCATGGAAGAGTCGATGGCATTGACAGCATGATAATTTTGGTGGAGGAGGAGGTTGATTTTCTCGAAACTTTGTCGCTTGTCGTTTAATTTTTTTTTTCCTTTTCTGTTCTGGTAGCTTCGAAGGTTTTGATTCTGAAATTGATGGAACACCGCCACTTGGTACGCCCCCCCCCACACACGAACGAAAATGTATATTGATAGTTTATATCGCCTGAACAGCCCCTACAAAAATGGTCATCACCATTAAACAGGGATAGCACCATCAAAATGGTAGTCACGGTGAAATTTTATTATGTTTAGCCTAATTTGAATTTACAAACACAAACTTGTTTTATTTATAGCTAATAATTTTCAAATCTCAAACCGGGGTAGTTTTCATTTTTTTTTTTTTTTAATAGGTTTTGGTTCTTGTATGATTAAGTGTTATAATGCCCCCCCACACCTCTTAAGTTTCAAGGTTGACGCACATCTAAAAAAAAAAAATACTAATAGCTAATATCTCTAACGGAACACCGATACAGACCTCTCAAAGCAGGATAATCCTGGTTAAACCGGAACAATCCCGGCAAACCAGGACATGTGGTAAGCTGATATTTAACTTATTTTGTAATTGTTCATATTTTCTGCGTGAATTATCAAGGATTTTTCTTCGCAATTTTTTTTTTTTTTAACCCAATTAGGATTTTTTTTACTACTACTCGAGTCGTTTAATATTTGTGAAATAATTAGTACTCAAGTTGCTTGAATGGTGGGTTATTTCTTATGTATCTCTCTAATAAACAGCAAAAAACTTTATAATGTAAGTAAACGAGTAGAATTAGTAGAATTCTTGAAGACACTCTGAAATATTTTTACTAACTCTTTTTGCTTAATTTTATATTTTCACTTTTCTTCTTTGTTTTTTTTTAACTTTTTTTAAGTCACACGACGTCAATATGGGGAATTGATTAAGATTTAATTAAATTTGACGTCAGTAGAGGAATTGCTTAAGATTTAGTCAAATTTGACGTCAGTAGAGGAATTTGCATAAGATTTAGTCAAATTTGACGTCAGTAGAGGAATTTGCATAAGATTTTGTCAAATTTGACGTCAGTAGAGGAATTTGCATAAGATTTAGTCAAATTTGAGTACAATTCCTTATATACGAGATTCAATGTGTAGATTGACTAAAGTCTTCTTACAGGCATGCCAAAACAGTTGATAAAATAAAGTGTGGGTTCCTAGGCAAAAAGGAAAAAAAAACTGGTAAACTCGTTCTTTCCGATTTAAAGAAGACTCTTTTTGTGCATTCCTATCTAAATTCTGAGATAGTTCTGCAACCCAACTTTGGTCGTGCAGAATCTGGTAGACTGTGGGCTACTGAAATTTATTGTTACCATCACAACATTTTGGCCATCCTCCAAACGATCTTCAGGCAACCTTCTGGGAATATCAAATTGAAACCTTTTTAGAGCGCATAGGGGATATTCTCATTCCACTCCCCCACCAACTGCAAGAACATATTACATATCAGTTAATTCGCACTTGTGATATCATTGGTCGATTCCAAGTAGACAAAATAAACGATTTATTTTTATAAGTAACTTAGAATCGGTATGCTTAATATTTGCACAAGAATTAATACTTAAATTGTTGCTGAAATTTCATATATTTTAGTCTAATAAATGACAAAGACGTTTTAATGTAGCTAAAATAGTAGAACTAGGGGAATTCTTAAATAAAGTATGAAATAATGCCTTTAGTAACTCTGTACTCAATCTAATATTTCTCTCTACTTTACGGATATCAGTAATGGAGTAAATCAGTCAGTTATGTGCCATGCGTGATACAAGCTTAGATGATTATGTATCTTTCGATATATGACTCATAGAAGATCCATACCTTTTCCCAAGGGTATTAGCACGTAAGCGAATGTCATTGATTCGACTGGAATTCGAACTCGGCTCTCCGATTCCTCAATCCGAGCCGCTATCCGTTACTCCAGTTACTTATTAAAAATAGTCGTGCATGTACTTAACCCTTTAGTCGTATGTGTTAAAGCAGGGGTCGGCAACCTTTTGCTATGTACCATCTTAGGGTTTTAAAATCATTCAGTGTGCCAACAGCATATGTACTTTTATACAAGATCAATATACCTGTTCTACAATATATTTTATATAGTAATTTTTCATGCGTAGCTTAGATGTGGCACAAGGCCGAAAATATGGGCGCCCAGTGAGGACCGTAAATGTTTTTATAAGCGTAGCTTAGATGTGGCACAAGGCAGAGAGTACGAAGCACTCAGTGAGAATTGAACTCACTAGTCAGTCGTAATTGATGGAGCGAGACAAACTTGCTAACCATTACACCACGCCACAGTGCCCAAAACGACTTTCTAACTGTAGGTAAAAATGGCACAAGGCCGAAAGCATGGGGCACCCTGTGAGGATTGAACTCACTTGTAATGATTCTAGCGAGACAAGTTTGCTAACCATTACATCAAGTCGAGGTACCTCAATATATTTTATATAGTATAGTGATTTTCTAAGCGCTGCTTAGATGCGGCACAAGGCCGGAAGTATGGAGCTCCCAGTGAGGATCGAACTCACTACTCAGTCATGACATGTTCTAGCGAGACAAGCTTGCTAACCATTACACCACGCCGAGGTACACAAAGTAATATATAGTATAGATACTTTAGTATATAATAAAATTGAAACCGCTAAAATATCTTTTTTGCTTTATAGTAGTTATTGGTCCGGATTTCGTGATGTCATTTGCGGCTGCGTGCCATTGAAAATTGCTTGACGTGCCACGTGTAGCACGCGTGCCGCAGGTTGCCAAACCTTGTGTCAAAAGATTCTGTTTATAAAAATCATTCAAAAATTTAAAAAACCAATGAAAATTCAGACGCAACAAAAAGAAAACGTACGTAAGTAATGTCTCATGCTATCATAACATCGGAATATTACATTACTAATAAGGGAGACCATGTTGCGTGACCGATACATATACAAGGTTATATTGTTTTATGAAACATTGATGCTGTATTTTATAGCAACCTTTTTTTTTTTATTAATTTTCTGGATTTCTTAGCCCCTAAATTTCTCACTCCCCGGCATTTACTAATCTTCACCCCCACCTAAGTTTTATCCCAAAGTAAGACCTACCCTCTCCGCTCCAGTCAACCTGCTGCCTTTCAATTTCTAATAAGAACAGCAGATGTCATTCAACTTTCCGCAAAAATCCCTTGCTTATTTGACAACGGACAGCGCTCAGAAATATGTTAATTAGATCAGGATTAGATTTCAACTAATGCCTTCCTTCCTTCCTTTCTTCTTTCTATCTTTCCTTCATTCATTCTTTCTTTCTTTTCTTCACTTTTTAAAATTTGTTCATTCAAACCGATTTCCGTATAAAGTTTTCAGCTTCATCTCTCTCTTTCTTTTTCTTTTTTCTTTCTATAGTTTTCTTTCTTTTTTAACCTTTATATTTATTTTTCAATTTTTATTTTCTATATTTCATCCATTTTTGCTTTTTTTTCTCCTTTTTTTTCTGTCGTTTTCGCTTTATTTATTTATCTAATTTTCTTCTTTCTATTATATTTCTATAATTTTTAACATTTTTCTCTTTTTCTTTCTTTTTGTTTTTTCTTTGCCTTTTTCTCTCTTTTTTCTTTATTACTTTTTGCGATCGTTTTTTTTTTCTTTTCTTTTCAGATTTTCCTTTTTTTCTATACTTTCTTTCTTTCTTTTTTGCTTGCTTTCCTGCTTTTTTCTTTCTTCTATCGATTTTCTATAATTGTTTCTATTTTTTTAAAACTTATTTTTTAAATATTTTTTCTCTTTTTCTTTCTTTTTGTCTTTTCTTAGTTTTTTTCTTTTTTTTCCTTTTTTATTTCTTTTTTCGATCATTTTTCATTTTTTTTTATATTTTCCTTGTTTTCTATTCTTTCTTTCTTTCTTTCTTTCTTTCGGTCTGTATGTCTTTCTTCTATCGGTTTTCTGTAATTTTCTTTCTTTTTTTAAAATATAATTTTATTTTTCTATTCTAAAATATTAGATGAAAGAAAATGTTCTTATTTTATTGCCTTTTTTCTTTTTTTTCTGTCACTTTTCCTTTTTTCTTTTACTATAATTTTTCTCTTTGCACTTTTTTTTGTTTCATATTTTCATCAAATCACAATACTATGTCTTTCTAACAACGCATTGGCTTCGTTTCAGTCTTTTAGATTTCTTTTGTCGGCTTAAAGCTGTGAATATGAACTACACGGTTTGTTTATATCAAACTTTTTTTACTTCTTGTAATTACCTTTAAAAACGGCAGGGTTATACATATTATATTTCAAGTGGATTAAAACGTTGGATCATACATCTAGTTCCATGGATGTTGCGAGTTCAATCCCTGTTTTGGACAGTGTCGAAAAGTTACACACTATATTTCAGTAAAAAATGGGTGGCAATTGAGACAAATGTGTATAAAACTGACGAGTATTATCTGATATGAGTTATCTCCCCTAACTAATATGTTACCTCCCCTAAGCATGGATGGAAGACTAAGAAGAATCTTCCCTCGTTGTCGGAATATACGTTTCAGTTCAAAATTCCGAGACATCTGAAGAAGCCCGAAGAGTACAACAGTCGAAACGTTGTGAGTATAACAGACCAGATGAACATCAATGTCCGAATAATAAAGCTTATAATATTTCCATATCGATCTGTAATCCAATTAAGGATCAGAATAACTGAATACATTGTCTTGAAACAAAGGAACGCACGACAATTTTCTGGCTACGATGAAAGTGTAGTATCTGTCCTTGGGTGGATAAGCTATATTTATTTCTCAATTGTGTCTATGCCTTCTGACAGAGCACAAATCACTTGTGTTTCTGTCTGCGGGTAGTGCGAGACTGAAAATATTGACAGGTGCCCGGTCTCGGAGAACACCAGCTCGCGGCAGTACCCCCCCTCCTCACCGTCAATGGGCTAAAGGAGTGTGATCGGTAGTAATACCAATGCCAGCAAAACCGACGATTGCGGGGGCTGGGGAATTTTGGGACACGATCAGAGTGCACGGGCTTTCGCTCCCCACATTAAACCTTGTGTCATATCCTGCTAGCCTAAATTGGCAGCAAGTAATTACGAAGTGTAATATCTGACTTCAGGCGGACAAACTACATTTTATTTCACAATTGTGTTTCAGTCTTCGTACAGAATACAACAAATAAATTAGGGATGCTCTGTCCTGGGGATACTAACCCTGCGACAGTACCTCCATCATTGCATCAAAGAGGAAGGGTCGGTGGAATATCCACGCCAGAGCGACATTGTTTACAGGAACCGGGCAGTTTTTTTTAACTTAACCTCTTTCCAAGCGCTTGGGATCCCGACTTTAAGGTTGGCCTTGGGCCATATCCTGTCAACGAGACGAGTAAGTACCAAGCATTGGACCTGTTCTGTATCCCACTTTTAAGAGAAGTCTGATTACCAACGATGCCGCAAGAACTTCTTCATTGCGCTAAAGAAGAAAGATTGGTGGAATACGGACACCAGAGTGACACTTATCAATTTTGAACCTTGGTTTACATATATATATATATATATATATATATATATAGTATGGGCACCACGTTTTAAAACGACCTTTTTTCACATCTTACCACTGTGACGATGTGGGTTAATACCAGATCAAAGTATGGTATTTTTCTTCGGCTCTGCTCTTGTACTTGGGGCATTTCGAAAATTTACGTTCCAGTCATAATGAAAGTCTAGTCTTCTGGACTGCAACAGACCTGCGGCAGGTCCCACTAACTAAAGAACTGTGTTCAATGACACTCCTCCCGGTATATACACGTTTATGCTCGCCACGTGAAACCGATGATATTTAACATCCTACCACAGTAACAAAAGTATGTGGATCATAAATAAATGTAAGGTGAGCGTGTTATATAGTTTATATCCCAAATATTCAAAAAAGAAAAAAAATATTATCAAGATATATTTTTTTATAAAATTATGTACCCAAGTTTAACTCAGACACGTAAAAAAAATGATAAAAGCTTAAAAAGAAAACTCCCATCATTGGCTGTTCAATAAATGAATGCGGAATACTTCCATATAAGGATAACGTTAGCCGTTTCAATATCTGTCTATATTTCTGAGATGATGTATTATGTACATTATTTACATTATTCGGACTATTGTCCTCATCTTTGTCGCCATATATATTACAACGTTTCGGCCTTTCAATATCTGTCTATATTTCTGAGATGATGTATTATGTACATTATTTACATTATTCGGACTATTCTCCTCATCTTTGTCGCCATATATATTACAACGTTTCGGCCTTTCAATATCTGTCTATATTTCTGAGATGATGTATTATGTACATTATTTACATTATTCGGACTATTGTCCTCATCTTTGTCGCCATATATATTACAACGTTTCGGCCTTTCAATATCTGTCTATATTTCTGGGGTGATGTATTATGTACATTATTTACATTATTCGGACTATTGTCCTCATCTTTGTTGCCATATATATATTACAACTTTTCGGCCTTTCAATATCTGTCTATATTTCTGAGATGATGTATTATGTACATTATTTACATTATTCGGACTATTGTCCTCATCTTTGTCGCCATATATATTACAACGTTTCGGCGTTTCAGTATCTGTCTATATTTCTGAGATGATTTATTATGTACATTATTTACATTATTCGGACTATTGTCCTCATCTTTGTCGCCATATACATTACAACGTTTCGGCCTTTCAATATCTGTCTATATTTCTGAGATGATGTATTATGTACATTATTTACATTATTCGGACTATTCTCCTCATCTTTGTCGCCATATATATTACAACGTTTCGGCCTTTCAATATCTGTCTATATTTCTGAGATGATGTATTATGTACATTATTTACATTATTCGGATTATTGTCCTCATCTTTGTCGCCATATTTATCACAACGTTTCGGCCGTTGTACGCTCCGGCCTTCTTCAATTGGTTGGAATGTCGAACCGAAGCCTTTATTTCGCTCACCGGGGTAGACTGCTCTAGTTCCACGTGCCATGTTTAATGGATGTCAGTTATCAGTTATCTCCTGTTAATTTTCCCTCTGGAAGTTCTCCACTGCCTAAGCCGGGTATTGAACTCACGGAAAGAAATATAAAGGAGAGACAGGCCGCTTCCTCAAGGTAAGGTTTCAAGAACACCAGAAAGCAGTAACACGAGGGGAAGTGGAAAAATCAGGCGTGGCTGACCACATATGGAGGGAGAAGGAAGATCACCGCCCTCCGTGGGATCAAGTTGAAATCATAGACAAGTTCATAAACTTAAGGAATCAGCACATATGCTAGTCCACAAAAATCTCCTGAGCCGACCAAGCATAGAAATAAATACAATATGAGAACCAGTAATAAGGAGTGCCAGAGAAAAGCAATGATAACAAAGTTGCAATATGAACTCTGATAAAGACATGCAATGATAACAGCAAAAATTGCAATATGGGCACTTGGTTGCTGAAGACATTAGGTTTATAATACCCAGAAATTCATGCACGGGTGTCCTCAAGGAAACATAGCACAGTGGATAAAGTCGTTGGTTAGATCCAGTGGCATAACCCAGAGAGTGTGAGTTTAATACCCAGCTAAGGCAGTGTAGAATTTTCATGTTTCGGAACTGAAAATTCTTCCAATTCATAGCGCGTTGTTTTCTGTTTTCATTAAAAGTTACCAAATATCGCCTGATAAATTGGAACAATTTCAGTTACGAAACATGAAAGCTTTTGTGTAGCGATGTAAAATATTTTTCAAATAGAAATATTATTAAAATATATTTTGCTCTAAGTTGTAGTGAGCACTTTAAAAAAAAAAGTAAATGCTAAAGAATCTCTTCTTTCCCTTTATATGGATACACACACACACACACACACACCCACACACACACACACACACACACACACACATATATATATATATATATATATATATAGGGAAAATTGTATAACAAAGGTTAAAAAGTTTTCGTGAGACGCGTTTCGTTCTTTAGTCGGATGAAGTACTAAAAGTCGAAACCTACTTCAGTTTGTGTTGCGTTTTTTTCCAATATTGTTCATGATATATAAAGGTTATCCATCTATCTATTCATATATATATATATATATATATATATATATATATATATATATATATATGTACGTTATTATTATAGATATAATTTATTTTAGTAAATGATCTGGGTTTTTTTTTAATTAAACAGTATTAATTATATTTACCGGCCTGAGTGTTCGAGAAATTTCGTAGAATATATGCGCTCTCCAACGTCTGCTTTGCAAAGTTCGAATTGATAATCACACGCGTACGACAATATTTTCTCGATCTATCATTTCAGTTCACGAAACATATCTTAACGTAAACAGTGGCAACATCTTCTGAAATGGATTAAGTCCGGCAGTTTTTTAATATATTTTCAGACTTTGCAAATCAGACGTTTCTTTGTGGCTGAATGGTCGACAGCACGTCAGTTCAAATGACGGCTCCCAATGAGGGTTACAGGTTCGATTCCTGTCGGGGAATTTATACGAATTTTCTCGAACATACAAGCGGGTAAATGTAATTAATACTGTTTAATTAAAAAACAGAGCATTTGATTAAATAAATTATACCTGTAAAAATAAATTATAAACAGGAAAATAATTGTCGACCTTAATCCATTTCATAATATGCTATGCATATACATACACACAAAACATATATATATATATATATATATATATATATATATAAGTATTTATCCGAAAATTATAACATAAATATGTTATAAAATCACTACGAAAAATACCTATTTTGTTTCAACACTTCTGGTGTCTTATATATATATATATATATATATATATATATATATATATATCGTTTCTTTCAGAATTCAAATGAATGACAGCATTTCTGGCTTTACTACATAGCTATGCATTTATAAGAGGGCACTCAGGTCAATATCGTGCGGCGACAGTCTGTTTCATGCTTGAACGCCGTCATCAGA